TTTTTTTAGTTTAAGAACTTTTTAGTTCAAGGTTTTACTAGAAACTACACCTCTCCCCACACAGAGAGGCTTCATGCATGGGACAAGTTCTGATAGGTGGAAAGAAATTTGAGAAGATGTCCTAGGACACAGGAGCAGGTCATCTGGCCTCTTCTGTGCCAAGTGACTGTTGGAGACCTAAACTTGAAATTTTAAAAATATTTTCTTTTCCTATCTGATACAGGAAATGTCAACCAGTTTCAACATACAAAACACTTAAAAAGCAGATCTATAAAACAGACTTCTTTTTTAAACCTTGGTGGAAAAGTCACAGTGCAACAAATAGAACAAACACCAGAAAACCTTCATTCCCTACCTACATAGTGCCCTTCAGATAATTTATGTGGTACTAGCAGTAGTATTATAAAGAGAAATGGTCAGTTTCTTCCTGTGAACACCTGAGAGAAAGTACTTTCTTTCCAGGGAAATGAGATCTCCAGATGCAATATAGGAGAATCCCCTGTAGGCATTTCTTGGTATTAAAAAGAAAATGAGGTTCTGGATATAAACATCTGCCCCACTTTAGAAGTTTTGTTCTCTTTGCTTAGCTTTACCCAGGCGCTAATCTAATTACAGAAATCATGTGCCGGCCTCAGCACCTGGAAGTGCCATTATTTGGCACTGTTATTAAATGATTTTAAACATGGGATATGTCCTTTGTACTGAGATCCAAACATACTAGTAACTAGTTATGAACTTAATTATTAGAATGAAGTGACAAAGACTAAAGATGACCTACCTTCTCCTATTGATAACTGCATTACAAAGTTCACCCGAAACAATGATCTTAGTGTCAAAAATATGAGAGTAAATACATTACTTCAAGGACAAATTACATGCAGTAATTATAAATGCAAAGTTTACCAGACTAGGCAATAAAGCTTCATTTTTATATTTTGTCTCAGATGGCTGTTATTTAATGCTTGTTGTACTGAAGAGAATAAAAGCCAGTTCAATAATTTCTGAGTAAATGAATTTTCCAATATAGTAAATAAAGAACAAATCATGTTAACACTGCATCCAAGTTACAATAACATTTGTGTTCAGGTGCCATTCAGTGTCAGGGTTAGGTGTTATAAAAATACTGTTTAGGCTCATTGTTTTCCCAAATCTGATTTAACAATGGCATTTCTAGGTCATGAACAACCTAGTTAATTTGGGTTATTCACAGGAAGTGGCTGAGGACTTTTTTTTCTTAAGAGTAATTTTGTTCCAATCCAAATATCTACAGCCAAGGTGACAGAATCACTCTGGATAGGGAGAAATGACAGTTTCCTTGGTAAGATTTCAGAGGATGCTGGGAGAACAATGGGATGACCTGCAAGTTAGATCCATGCCTCTCAACTACAGAAGTCAAGTGGAGAATTACTCCCCAAAACCATGTAAATGTCCCAAATTCTGGCTTTAGAAACTGTTAGCAGAATCACTCTTGAAATTGACTTTCTTTTAATTATTGCCTTGTCTTGAATTTTGTGGCATGACTGATGAAAAAGGTTGTGCCATAACAACTCCTACACCAACTGGAGTCCTCACAGCTAATTGATCCCAGTAACTTCTATGTTAGATTTGGGTGTGCAATAGTATGCATACAATAAAAACTACAATGTTTATGTTGATTACTATGGTATATAAATGGAAAAAACTTCCAAAGAGGAAAACAACTTTCAGCATCTGTGGATGTTTCTGTATCAAACTGTACTAAACCATCCCAAATCATCACATGGAAAGGTCCTATGCATGAAATCCTGACTGCTGGCCTTGAGAACATGGACACATGACTTCTGTCTATGAAGTCTAATATTCTGCTTTGGAAACTGGTTAAAATTTTCAGCCATAAAAAGTCTCAATTGCATATAGTGGCCAAACTATTACTTTTTTAATTCACTTGTTTAAAGTGACAAAATAGGGTCTCAAGTCCCACTGAAGTCACCCTCAAAGAATCCTCAACTGAATCAGTGCAATCTGGCTGGATTAACAAAATTACATTGCAGAGATCCTAGCCAAATAAGTTATATTGTAAGACAAGTCAAAGTTGCTCATGAACTCAATTATGTTCAATCTATATAATCAAATAGTAATTATGAAAGTTATAGTTGGACTGCTGAGAAGTTCAAATCTGTTATGTCTCCTCCAAATTACATTAAGATAGACACATATATTAAACAGTTTTGTAATATTATTGTTCCATATAAAAAATAGTTGCAGTTGCCACAGATTATGTGATTGGACACAGGAAGGAAAGCTGTCTAAGCAGGGAGGAATAAAAAGAGAGGTGATGCTCTAATAGAGCAGCTGACAACCTTTTAGAGCAGCAGGCTACTGCTTGCAACCAAGCCATTGCTGTGGCCCGCAGCTCCCCTCCACAATGCTCAGGCTACCTACTTCTGCCTTCACTTGTGCCATGTGCCACACACCTCTGATTTCCATGCCCAACAGCAATGAAAGGGGTAAATTTGGCAATGGCAGTGAGCAGCATGTGCCATACAAGCAGAAGGGTGACATCAGCAGCTTGTCATAGGGTAGAGAGGACACATCTGGCCAAACTGTGTGTCACTAGTGCCCTATCACTGCTGGCCAGCTCCAAGCACTTTGCAGGCCAGATATGGCCCATAAGCCATACGTTGCCAACCTCTGATTTCATAAGATGTGGTAGGCACTAGGAGAGAGTTTGAAAATACTTGGTCTAACTGTAATCTATAATGTAACCACAATATTTCATTTAATATACCATGACCCTAAATTCTGAAATGTTGACTTATGCACAGGGGGAAAAAAGAGTATTTTTTATAGTTCTAAATTTAGTCAAGGAATTAGACAACTTAACATCTTAAAATTCACCTGAAAGGACTTGAAAAAGAATAAAAATGTGTGAGGGTTTTTCTGTTGTACTAGAACAAATTACTTGTAGCTTTCTATAAGTACAGATTATAGCAGCTTTTGAGAAGAGTCAGCTTAAGTATTGGCATTAATAGATAAAATCTCTATTGAAGTGAAAATGGAGGTAGATTACTGACAATACCAGAGGATTTGTCCCATCAGCCTTCACCTGTTTGGTTAGATATGCATGATCTAGACTAGATTTTGCTGGTTATGAAAACAACAGAAAGAGAGTTCAGCTGGCCTCTTTGATCCAGATTCTATTCCACCTATTGGTCATGCAAGTGGATTTAGACACTTAAGCGTGATTGTAGTCCATCCTGTTCAAGTCCTGATGATCCACTAATGCATCTACTTTTACAACACACTGTCATCTTACCCTTAACAATGAGTCACAAAAAAACAACATGGAAAAGAAGGACCCAGTTGCCTTTTGTATAAACATTTTTTTTCAGGGATTTGTTCCTAATAGATCAAATAGAACCTTTATGTCCTAGAGGCCCCCTATGCCTCTGCTGTTATATATGGCAGGACGAGAAGTCATCCATGAATCATATGGTTGCATATGGACGGACCTACAGTACACAATTTCACTACAACAACACAGCAAGTCAGTGTTCAGAATTACTGTAAATTTCTAATCTAATCATATACATTACATTGGCTTTACAAAACACAACAGAACACTGCATAACAACACTGAATCATCACATAAAACATCACAGACTAGATGGGATAGTTTTATTTGATTTTACTGAGACATTAATCCTAAAACAAATGAAACCATATTTTACTGAAATTCTTTTCTCAGTTAACAATATTATTGCCACAATGAGCCTTTGAGTGCAGCTAATGATTTTAAATTATATAGCATGCTCCATTGTAACCTGGTAGATTCCAACAATGGTAGAAAATGTCTAAAACCATTTTATAATATTAAACACGTACTGATGTCAGAAAGATATTATTATTAGAATATCTGATAATGGGGCATTTCTTTAAATAGAAACCCCTTTACACCTAATATGTACTGTACCTCATGCACAGTAACGGAGAGACAACAGCAGTACATAGAAGAGGTTTAGACCCAGAACTGCAGACTTCACTAATGTAAGTCATTTCATCCATGTAACAAAGTGCAGTTAGGGGGAGATCTATAAGTCTATCCAAATTTAATCCTAGAAAAATATATTTAAAGCACTTTACAATAATGTACTGAGTGAAAAGCTTATCCTGACAGGACTACAATTTCCTTTCATAAGTGGAAATAATATTACATCACTAATGATGAATGGGAAGATGATTTTTGTTTCAAAAGTATTTTCTTCATGTCAACACAAAATCTGTGGAGGGAAAAACCTCAATAGTACCTATTGTATTGCCTTATCCAAACTGGGTACATCCTACATAAAAGAACAGGTAGTCAGTCTCCTTGAACAAAGCACTGCTGAAATAACAGCTTCAGTGATCTTGGTTACATATTCCTCTTTCCATTGTTGAATGACTATATGTAACAACATTTTAAAAATGTCACGAGTTTTCTTTTCCTTCAGCTTTGACTGCTCATCACTGCTTAATACAGCATCAAGAGCCCTAAAGAGTCAAGGTACAGAATCCATTTATGAGAATGTTCTTCAAGGATGTCCATGGCCAGACTTCAGGTCAATGAGTTTCCTTGTGGTCACACATGATAGCAGCAAGAACTGTATTCAATCACCATGAACCCCCAAATCCACCATAGCTTTGTCCTTTTTCATATTCAAATTATATGAATTTGAATTGCCTACTCCCACAACAAGACACCTGCACCAGTGTAGAACACAGCTGAAGCTCATAGGGTCTGCATTAACAGGGGTTCCTCCAGTATGGGTCTGGTTGCAAGAGCTAGAACAACATTTGCCAGATCTCCCTTTTATTAGCCCTTTACTATACAACAAGGAGAAAATTACTACATATTATACCTAGCCATTTGGCAAGATTTTCCATGAATGAATAAGAAAATAAATATGGATACTGCCTGGTTTGGGGGTGGTTGCACAGAAGGGGCTGGGGCACTTGCCACACAAACCATATATTTTCAGGTATTATGACAGATCTTGAAAATTTCCATTTTCATAATGATAGGAAGTCTGTTCTTCTATGTCCTGTGTTACCTGCTTCTGCTTTCCCCATTCCTTTCTTGCTATTTCACTGTTCTGACTAGTAGCACCGTATGTTTTCTTTTGATTAACAAAAGTATCACTGTTCAATTCCGTTTCTTCAGCCAATTCATCTTGTTCGATGATGCCACATTTATCTTCACTGAGGTTTTCAGGGTCAGCCCATTCTTGCTTCTCTCCAGAAGCAAAAATAGCATAAAAAATCACTCCACTATAGTGCACAAGGGCCGCTATAAGGAAGACATTTTGCCATTCTTCACGAGTCTGAAAGAATGATATAAAGTTTGCAGTGAAAAATATATGCATGACTGGATAAGAACAAGAGTTAACACCCATTTGTGATTACTGTCTGATTTCTCAGTTTATAGATAAAAGATTTTAAGAAAATAATTGTAAAGAATATTTATTTTTCCTCCATTATGACTAATAAAATATCAGATGGAATTTTTCTCCTTCCAGTGGGATCTCTCTGCAGAATATAGAGTACTCCTGGAGTTAGAAGGCTACAGCCTCTACCTTAGGTGTTCCTGTGAGGTGGCAAAACCCACCTTAAACCAGTAATGACTTTGAAAACACTTTACATTATGCTGCAGAAAATTTCCCAAATGGATCTCACTTTTAACAAGGGGTATTTTCCAAATTGCTCCCAGGCTGTCAGCAAGGGGCATAATATAGCCCTAACCCAGTGTTCTAGTGGAATTTTAGTGACAAATGTTCACACCGTGATATCAATTAAGGATTTGCCCCCTACCTTTTACCTGAAGATCAAGAAAAGACAAAGAAAGAATTAGATTTTCATAAATCTCTGAAATGGTTGTATTCTTATATGTCATTCAGTCCTTTCTAGAAACATTTAAGGATGCTTTACCTTGTGTTTAGTCATCGCACCAACAATGAGTGGACACACCATTCCTGACAGTGTCCCCACTCCATTGGAGATCCCCATGAGAATGCTGGCATATCGGGGAGCAATATCTAAATGGTTGACATTAAATCCTGTACAAACAAGAGCAACAATGAACAACTTGATTTCACAGTACAGTGATAATGTGTTTTTTCTGTGTGTGATGTGGTTAGAGAAAGAATAGGGGAAAGCGAAAACTGTTCCTTTGCTGTTATTAGCAAAGTAAGCTGAGCTTCATTCCTTTATCCCATTTCCTTCTTCTTTAAACCTTTGCACCTATACCTTTGAGGCATCATACCAAAAAAGAAACATGGTATTGCTTAATTTGACTACTTGATCAATTCAAGCATCAGTGCTTCTGGTCTCCTCTCCTAGGAAATGTGCACTCTAAACTGATATTTTACTTAAAGAATTAATACTGCATAATTTTGATTTTCTTCTATCCCTTAATGTAGGGACCATTTTTCAGAAATCTCTCTCTCACCTGGTTTAGTGACAATTTACCAAAATAACAGGCAACAGAATATAAACAAGTAGCAAGATTGATTATACTTGCTGTAGATTTCTATCAGATAAATATATTAGAATGCATCAGAAATTAAAACAGCAATTAAAGTGGTTATCAACTATTGTAATACCACAGATTAAAATGGCTACACATATGTGCTACATATTTCTCTGCAGAATATACATATGTGCTACAGAAAGCTGCAAGAAGCCATGTAAATTCCAAGCAATTTTTTCTCACAATCTAAGGATATTGTGACCTTGAATGGTTGAATATTAACCAAAACAAAACCTCATCTCGAGAAAACTCATCGTGGCCCCCAGCATGTTACACCTAAGATGTGATTAACCACTTAATCACATTTTAAGCAGTTACCCAGCCACGTATTAATGTAATGAATGCAGTCTTAAAAGAAGGAATAAGCCACACAGTTATTACACAGAATATGTCTAATAACTTTATGGCTGGCTCCTATCACACCGTTATTTGAATGTGCGCCCAGGCTGACTGGGGCTATCAGTCTCCAGAGCGCATGGGAGCCCTTGACTCCATTCACTCCCAAGGCTGAGTGTGCCAATCAGCCCCTGAGGCTAAGAGTCACAATCAGCTGCCACTCCCAGATTCAGGGGACTATCAGAGCCCTTAACTCCAATATGTCCCCTCAGCTGGAAGCAACAGCAGATCAGGGCTCTAGGACACAGCCCGAGTCAAAGGCTCCACTATGCCCCTGAAGCTAGTAACCTCACCAGCTGACCAGGGCTCCCAGGCACAGGAGCTTGCTACTTGCTGGTGTAGGGGGAGGCCAGGATCAGGACACCAGGCTTCTCCTAAACCAGTAATATGGTGTGATGGGATCTCATTCTTAATCCCATAATCATGCCTCCTGCTATGCATGTGTGGCATGGCAGGAAATGAAATTGTGGGGATCAGGCATCAGATCCCATTGCACCTTTAACTGCACATCTGCTAGGGGGCTTTTTGGGAAGTATCTGGAAATCCTATGCTCCAGACCTTCTGCTAGTGGTACCAAGACATTTTTCCCCCATGAATACATTATTGGCTCCTGTAGTGAAGGAATGAGAAATGGGGCCATGGGGGGGAATTGCTTTCTTCTGAAGCATTGGACTAGAGGAAGCAATAGCTGGTGGAGGGAGTGTAGCTTGGATGCACTGGTGTTCCTGCCAATGCTTAAAATTTGTCAGGGGCTGTCTGGAGGTGCTTGCTCAAACATTTAGGGTCAAACTGATCACCAGGTTTAGGTTTGGGAAGGAATTTCCCCTCCCTCCCCCTGCCCCCCCCCCACAATGTTGTGCTGACAAGGACCACTGGTTTGTGTTTGGCTTTGGGGCTTTGTTTATTTCCCCTCCTCGTCCTTTGTAGTCTATAGGGCACAGTCCTCTTCTTGGATCACCTGAGCACATTTTAACCTAATATTCTGCTACCACAGTGCCAGGGCATTGGTGGTGCCTTTGTCTCCTGTTCTCTACTTGTGACACATTGTAGGGATTTTTTTCTTATTTGAGTGCTTTGTGACTTTGGTGCATGAGAAATGTCAGAGTGCACAGTCCTTTGGATCCTTTTGGAAAAATGATCCAACGGAATCCAATCCTAGGTTCTAACAGGAACTCTCCAAGCTGATTAACAGGAATCTCTGCTTATCAGAGGTCAACATTTTAATAGCAAGGGTGTCCAAACAGCTGCAGAGCTCAGTTGGGTACTAGATGGGCCCATGAAGTTAGGGCAAGGAGAAAACTGACAGCTAGGAACAGGCAGCTGAGAGGAATGCAAAGACTTTCTACAAGTGTCAGAGTTATGGTAGGTCTGAACGATGGGTTAGAAGAACAAACAGAACCAAAGAAGATCAACTGGGAATTATACAAATCATCTTAACCACACATTGAACCTTCTAGTTTTGTATCAGAATATTTGACTAGTTAGTTCTGTATTCTGTTAGAGTTACTATAATAAATGATAGCAACCTATTATTCTTAGATAAATGCATGTTGTAATATGAAGAGTATGACGATATTGTAAACTAAGGGTGAAAGATTCAGATTCTCACAAACTCTACCTCTTGTACAATGTATTATACAGCAAATACAATTATCAGTATGTTGTGGCAGGATATAGGAACTCCCCACAAGCAGCCATGACTGCCACATTAGGAACCAATCCAATGAGAAAAAATTACCAGGTGAAGATTTACCTGAAATAGCAAAGCCGCTAAATCCTACTGCCAGCACCAAAAAGGAGATAGCCACACCTTTTGTATGAGAGAAACCAACTACCAAAAGCAAAGTTGCTTCCATGCCAAAACCTGCAATGAAACACAGAAATAAATGTAAGTCTATAAAATATATTGATTAAAGAGACAAGAAAGCCTAATGAGCTAAAAGAGTGAATTGCCTCCATGCATCATAGCTACCACTGAATCCAGTTCCCATTTGTTGTGGGCTTGCAATAACATTTTAATATTCAGGGTTTGTGTGGGTGGGTTTTTTTAATTTCTTGTGTTTTCCCTACTGTTATATGAAAGACACAAACAACCAATAAGGGAAACTAATCCCCAGATTATACAAAGGGAACTGTAAAAGTAACTATGTTCAAAGAGCTGGCAAATGTGAAATTAAAAAAAAGGGGGAGAAAACCTCACTCCTCTAATGCCTTTCAGGGATAGTGTTCTGAAATGTTCTTCATAACAGCAGCAAATGAATATTTTTCAGACAGAAGAGTGACATTAATATTGATAAATCATCAAGTATCACAAGAAACTTCCCCTTTCCTATCCATAGTACAGTATTTAAATTACTTTATTCTTTTCTATTTAGTGCCCCATCTCTCTGAAATCCATTGACAACTTATACACCTCTGAGTGACGCAAGTTTCTAATTGTTATATGGTAGTTTGGAGCAGCTCCTGGAGCTCTTAACCCCAGGACTGTCCACACTAGGGGTGGGCAAAATGCAACCCGCAGGCCAGATGTGGTCCGTCAGGCCATTCTATCCAGCCCGCGGGCCCCCTAAAAAATTTAGAAAATTAATATCTATCTGCCCTTGGCTGCCTGTCATGCAGCCCTTGATGGCTTGCCAGGACTCAGTAAGTGGCCCTCCACCCGAAATAATTGCCCACCCCTGGTCCACACACTAACACCTTAAAGTGGTTTTAAGCACTCATTATGCAGCTCAAAGTTCTACTAAGCCAGGGCAGGTTTCTCCCCGATTCAAATGACCCAGCTCCTGTTTCATTAAGGTTTGGTCACTTCCTACAGAGGTGCTGCCCAAGTTGAAGTCCTCCAGTATCCCAGGATCTCTTGCATCAATAGAGCAGGAAGAAGTCTGTGCTGGCTCACCAGCCCTCTAGTGGCAACTTACAGCTCCAGCTCCTAGTCCTGCCCCTGCTCACCAGGCCTCTAGTAGCAAGTCACAGCTGTGCAGGTGAGGGCCAGTCTGATGAGGTTTCTAGACTAAGAGTGTGACTTTTCCAAACTCCAGGCTACACTGAACAACATTTGTGTGGCTCACAGCATAAGGTGCAACAAGGCCCAGCGCCAACCTGCTTGAAGGAACTTCCAGAAACTAACTTCTACCTTCCTTAAGAATTAGTCTTTCAACTTGTGACATAACAATTCTTCATCTGCCTCAAGAATTGGTGGAACAGAAGCAGCTTCCAATGATCAGTTATTTTAAGAGTGCTCCCTAAAGATGTAAGGGCAAATTCAGACCACCCCGAGGCAAACAAATCTTCATTTACATCATCCACTTTGTACTTTGCATCCTAGGATAGAAACAAAAGAACTCCCAGACCAAAATAGTTTCAAGGCCCATGACGTCAGTTTCAGAAAGTGCTGATTTTTTCAATTCAGTGACCAAACCCCTTCCCTGTCCCACCATATTTTTTTTGTTGACCCAGAAATTTTTTTCAGCTTTCTCACTAGAAAAACTAAACACCCCTAAAAAATGTATTTTTAGTGAAAGATTATTTGTTTATTTTACCATTCTTGTGTATTGTTCTTACCTTCAGGTGTTTAGTTGACTGGAAATAAATTTAGCTAACAACGCATAATTTTTACAAGTTAAAAATAATTGTGAAAAAGCTGGAATAAAATACTGTAGCTTTTCTGCTGGTTTTTTTTTCTGTGAATATTCAACTGAGAAATTCTGCATAGCTTTCAGGTGCCAGATACTTTCGTTGAAAATGTACAGACACTTCAGAGGAACCTTTATGAAAAACTATATCTAAAGGGAAAAATATTTTCTAGAGACCATAGTTAATAGTCTTATGTATCTACAAGTTTCCAGTAAGGACTGACCACATGAGTAAAGATTTCCAGAAGAAGATCTAACAGCACTGCATCTATAAAGACTGGATTCAGAAGGAATACAATTAAGTTGTCTCTTATTACAGTTAAATGTGAACAAAGATGTGATCTTCACCTAGATTCCAGTGTATTAATATGACTTATCTACAGAATTCAACAGTACCTCCACAATTCATGACTTTTCTTACAGTGGTAGTGGTTAAAATCTTCCTACTTTGTAACAAGTCAGCTAGCTGCCCTCCAATGGGTACAATAATTGTCATGACCATATGAGGAACCGCAGACAAAAGGCCAACCTGAAATTAGACAAACAACTGTGTGTAAGCTAATGTCTTCCCTCATTTTCTTTATCATTTTTTCAGCAATATTCTCCCTGTAGAATGTAGTTTTTGAAATATGAATATTAAGATGAAAGATTCTTAACTATCTGTCTTATAGGAGTTGCCATTCTGGGGGCTGGTGAGACCACCACTACACACCCCTCCCCCAAATCTACCCATGTGGGTGCATATGTTAGTCTGGAATGACAGGCAAAATTAGAATAAATAAAGCTACTTATTTTTTACAGCACTTGTGCCAAGGACAGTATCAGCATATACCCATAATGTTGTGGCTACCATTGCTGAACTGGCAACAGGAATGAACCAATCGCAAAGAAAGTGGAGCTCATTTTGGCCTCAAATAAGTTGATTATTTTTCAGAATTACGCTTGTTTTCAATTTTTTTTTTTAAATATAAACTGTGGCTTTAGAAACTAGTAGGATTACAGTTCTTCTGGAACAGTTACTTTTCAGTCCTCCAAATTCTGACCTTGTGCAGTCCTATGAGTTTTTGCATAAATCGTCCATCAACCTAGAATTTAATCTGGGGGTTTCTAATACTTGCTGTGCAATTAGAAAAAGGAGAATTTGAATGAAAATTATTTTATGACTATACAGCAAAGCTCCTACTAATAATTACATGTGTGCTTATGTTCGTTTTATGTATGTGTTTTCAATTAGGTGATTCTATTTTTTTCTTTTTTTCTACTGACAGGCTCTTTCTTAAATAAGTTGGTCTTTTTTAGTTCTTTGTTCCTGTTTATAATTTTATGCTAATCAAGTGGCATTTGCTATCAGAAATTATATTTAAAATTCAAGGATACTAGAAGAGCCCAATCCTGCCCACTGATGTGAATTATTGTCTACCCTTGTTTCAACAGGAGTTGGGGACTCGGCACCAAATGGGATCAATCCCAAACCACAAGAGGTTCAAGTCCCATATTTACCTTACTTATTGCAAATCCAAAGACCTCTTCAAAGTAAGCAGGCTGACTTATAAGCAGCAAATAGAAGGTCCAGCTTCTACAAAAGTTTGCCACAATGATTGCATAAACTGGCATTGAAGTGAAAAACTTTTTCCAGGGAGTACTAAATCTCTAAAAAAAAAAAACAAAAAAAGAAAAAGACAAATTTAAAGACTTTTTTGTATAGGTAAAAACAAGGACAGTACCAGACAGCTTGATTTTCTTTTAATTTAATTTTATCCCAGTGCAAAGTCCATTAACGTCAGTGGAGTTGCTACTGGCTTGCTTTGGTGCAAGCAAGTAGAAACAGCTACTGGATTTGCATTTGAGAGAAGGTTTTTCAGCTATTCAACATACAACTATTGTTCTGTATGTTACAGTTCTATCAGCAATATTTTTTTGGTGCTCTGGGACCCCAAAATAGTATGATAAAGTAACTTGAGGGAAAATTAATATATTCCACACTTTCTGGTATGATTTAATCTGATGACTTCCATACTGACCATATTTTGAAAAAGTGTGTTCAGCTAGCTCTGGGCAGTCAAACATGAGGTAACTAAGGGTGTCTGTACATATGCTCTGGGGTGAGGGCAGGCGGAGGCTCTCAGGTGCTTCCACAAGCATTTTGAAGCACAGGGACACTGAATACACAAGATGCTGAGACTGCTGGAGCATGCCACCAGTCTGCTCTGACGTGTGCTAATTAGTATGCATCCGAGCAGGCATCAGGCACATGTGTAGGTGCCCTAACTGACTGAAGGGTGCCAATTTAGTTTAAATTTTCATGTGAATAAAAGAAGTCCTTGGTAGAAGACAAAAATTTACTCACGTGTGGTTACTATTTATGCTTCAATGATCTATACTGCAGGAAACAAAATTACTTCAAAACCATGCCTGGTTCATAACAAAACTCAGCCAAAAGAAAAACTACTATAATCCAGAAATATCTTTTTTTTCTTTATAAAATGGCATCTATCTTATGTACCTGTTCAGTCTTCTTGCTAAAGCCCAGTGTGTGAATTCTGCATGATTGTATATAGGCTTGGACCATTAATATTAAGCCTTGCATCTTAAGGGAGAAATTGTGGACTTGGACATCATGTGTAACTGAAAGGGTGCATATCCAAAGATGACTAACATTATCCAGTCACTATGGCCAAGTGCAGACATTACACTTTTTCTGGTTTAGGTGGTCAGAAACTGATCTAAAATTGTAACAGAACAGAAGTTCAACACCCATAAACCAGTTTAAAAATGACCTGGATGGAAGTAGTATCAGATTTAATTGGTTTTGATTAGACTGGTCTATCAAACTTCTGTCCCAGATCCCCTCCTGACTCAAGTTAGGTTGCAGTCCCCCAGCATCCCAGCAGCCCTTTTGGTTTCTCCATTAACTCCTCCTCACAGGACTGGACCCATCCCTACACTGTCACAAAGCTGAGGTAGCAAAGACTGCTCCCTAGGCTGCATCCTTCTTGCACCTGTCCCCTGGGCTGGGTGGGGCAGGGGGCCCCACAAACCTTGCCCCCCCAGCAGCCAGTATAGCTGGGGGGGCATGTGGTAGGGGCTTCCCCCCTCCCCTGCTGCCTGACCAGCACAGCTTCTCTCCATAGCCCTACCCCACTACCAGCTGTCACCAGAGGGATGGGAGGAAAGCGAAGGCAAGCTAGAACAGCTGGGGGGGGACTATGTAGCAGTGGGAGCTCTATTCCCCACCCCACACCTGACCATCTGACAGCTGCAGGCAGGAGCTATGGCTCAAAGCCACACAGCTGTCTGCTGCACCAGAAACCGGGGATGCGGGGTGGGGGAACGGAGTCCCCCACCATGTGAACTCCTCCAGCTTCCTGGCTCAGGTGAGGGTCAGGCCAGGTCCACATAGCAGGGGGTCCACTCCCTTCTCACCCCTAATTCCCAGTGCAGCAGACAGCTGCATGGCTCCTGTCAGGCCAGGAACTGGGGGTTGGAGGGAAGGAATGGATCTCCACCTGCCCCCACCCCCCAGACTTGAGCCAGCAAGCTGGGAGAGCCCACATGGCAGGTTCTTTGTTCCCCCATCCCACCCCCAGTTCCCAGTACAGCAGACAGCCATGCATCTTTGATCCATGGCTCCTGCCTGCAGCTGTCCGGTGGTTGAGGGGATGGCG